CTTGGACTCGACAACTCCCTCGGACCAAGCTTCGATGACCTCACCATCGCAGGCGACACATTCACCATCGGGTTCCCAGGTGAAGAAGACGAAGAAGCAGAAGGAGGGGAACCGGCAGAAGTCGACGATCTCGGACGCGAAGACCCAACACCAAGTCTCGACGCCCCTCCATGCACCGGCAACGGCGGCTCCGCGCGTTTCTCAACTTGTGGGACTACCCCTCCCCTCTCTTTCGCTTTCCGTACGAGCGTAGCGAGATCAGGGCTGCTGCTCGTACCAGACGCACGATACAAGCTCCGTCTCCTAGTCTGCATATCAGAGTCTTCGGCATCGAAGAAAATGTCGTTGGAGCTGGTCGTAGAGGAACATCTTGCGGAGGAAGGGCCGGGCCCTGGAGATGGGGTGGGTGGGACGATGACGGGCGTAGGTGGTGCGTGAGCGTGGGCATGAGCGCGTCCCAATGGTGTTCGCGAATCCCTTGATGGGGGTCGGGATGAAGGCGAAGTGAATTCGTGTGCAGGAGGGGCAGGGCTGTCAGATATGCCCAGTGTATTGATATCAAGGCTCTCTTTTAGCTTGACCGTGCCCCCATGCCTTAGTGCTTGTTCGAAATCGAGGTCGGTGCGAGAGATGCGGCGGGATTCTTTAATGTCTTTGGAAGCTACGGGTTGGAGCTGGCCATTGGAGAAGGAGGTCAGCGGCATCGGGGGGCGTTGTTGGGGAGGAGGCGGCACATGTTTGAAGAATGAAGCCAGGTTGAATGAATGAAATCTAGTGACTGGTCTTGTCGTTGGCGATACAGCGTTCGAAATCAAATTACGAAAGGCAAGTTTTTTTTCTAAAAAAAAACAGTCACAAAAGAGTTTGAAACTAGAACTCTGAACTTTGAACTTTGTCAAGCTTAAGCGGAATGGAAGGGCTTCGCAATTTTCTGATACAATTTCGCGTGTCCAACCTAGGGTAGCTGCTAGGGTCGTATATTCTACACCTCTTTGGGAATAAACCATCGTACTGGAAGACATAATCATGCAAGACAGAACATGATGTACACGTATGCGAGCAAGCAAAGAGATGAAGCGGATGGAAAGGAAAATAATCTATGGCCAATGGAATATCTACGTACCATCCTGCGATCCGGGCAAGATCAAAAAAAATATCATGCTGACCACATAACAGAGAACATCATAGCATCAGACAACCTCAATCAACTCAAGTCTCACAGACCAGCGTCGTCACCCCTTCGAGACATCGTAGGTGCACTGGGGATCTGCCCACTCGTAGACGTCCGACGTTGTCTCTTCATCGCGACGGGGGGAGACAGGCCCAGCCCCCCTCTATTCGCGGCCGTCCCCCCTCGGCCATTTGTGAATGTCGGCACCGTGCTAGTTGTCGATGCACGGGGCCGAGTATTCGATGATGCAAGTTTGGGCAATCCAGCGCCCCCTTTGCGTGCGTTTCCGTTAGGAGCACCCGAAGCCCGGTTCCTACCATGCCAACATCAGACATCGCCAAAATAATAACAATTAATTACGAACCGTTTCTTAATCACGTCCGTCTTCAGCGACAGCGGACGAACAACACCATGCAGTTTCTTTTCTCGGAATCAGTATCAACATGCAGTATCAAGTACGTCAAGAACTCACGAAAAATAATCCGCATGCATTACCTGTGCGAAAACGCCATCAGTCAGCCAAATACCCCAAAATTAGCGGCGGAGAACACATACACAAAGGCTGTCCTTCGGGATCGCGTCTCCACAGCGGCGTATTTGTAGTCTGGCAGTTCGTACATGACGTGGGTGGCTGGTCCCCATCATCACTACTGCCTTTCGGATTGCCAGCACTCCCATCTCTTGTACTCAGATCAGGGGTACTCGTCGCTGATCGCGATACGGTCCCGATTGTGGGGCTCAACGCAGAAACTGATTTCTTGCGCCTGATTTCCTGGGCGATACGTTTCGTGGACGCGATTTTCCGCATCTGATTTCGTGAGTTGGGACCCGTGGTGGCACCTTCAACAGATGGGGGTGAAGAAGCGCTAGAGGTTAAATATGGTTCAGGGGATGCGGTCGAACTGGACGTAAGGCCATTGCCCCATCCGTCGCTTGATGGACTAGCATGGTAGCTCTGTAAGACCCCGTCGCCATGCTCCACTGGAAGAATCTGTGTGGGATCAACTGTATATGGGCCTTGTGCGAGATTGACGCTCGAGTCGATGTTTCCAAACGGAAGTCCAAGTAAATGGCTGTAGTCGTCTGACGAAAAGTTGGCAGCGGCGCTGAGATTACGATATCCTTCGGCCATCACTGCACTTGCAGCGGCAGCGGCAGCCGAGAGTCCCTCATTGACGCCAGAAGCAGACCCATATGCAGAACCGTTCAGAGGATGTGAAACAGAATCATGGAACGACGAATGGGAATCGTCTGTGGCGTGGAGCATATGCGAGAATTCGTTATGCGAGCCACCGTGCATATCAAACATCCCATAGTCCCGCGGGAAGCAGAAGTTGAAAGGGGTGGAAGGGAAGGGACTGGTGCTCACGTACTGATCTGGCTCCTGAGTGGTGCGGGGATTACCGTCTACGTTGGAGGGATCTGCGCGTAGCATACTCTCTACATGAGGTGCTTCTGCTCTCCGTTTCTGCCCAATTAAACTATCGGGCGACAAGGGCTTGCCATTGACCTGATGTCTGCCGCTGACACCCGTAAATAGACCCTCCCGCTTGACAGTATGATCGAAGCTCGTTTTTCGCACGTGTCTAGGGAAGGCACGTGCTTTGGGTGACTGATCTGGGAGCAGTTTCGAACCTCCGTGGAAACCGAAAGAGGGGAGCGAGGACGGGTGGAAAGCGGGCGTATTGAGGGCAGAGAGGGAGTGATTGAGCTGACCGATTTGTTGGTCGTGATGGAGTGTATGTGTGAAAGAGAGTGAATCGTGGTCGACTTGGCCTTCATAAACGGCTGGGAGGGTGCCAGAGAGTCCAGAACGGGGTGCCGAAGAAGACCCCGGATAAGAACGATGAGTAGAGGCTCCAGGTATTGGAATACTGGGTGAGGTAGCAAGGGGTTCGAGATGTGATTCCCTATTTGAATAGCCATTTCGTCTGTCCCTATCGCCGTTGGTTGGGTGGGAGGGGAAATGATATCGGGAATCAGTTTGAGGAGATATGATACCATGATGATCAAAGGTTGCTGCGGACTGGGGTGGCCTTGAACGGGAACGAGATTGAGGTCTCCAGTCCATTGATATGCGAGAGCGTGATCTGCTCATGGCACGCCAGTCCATCGCTACGACACTAGATGAGCGTTAAAAGGATGTCAGACATCACGTAATAAATTAGGACTGACTCGTCATCTTCTGTGCCATCTTGATTTGTACCGTCAAACCCGACGACTTGGACCTTTGCTTTTCCCTTGTCGATTCTACGACCTCTTTCCTCGTCAGGGTCAGGGATGGGAGTTGAAACCGCTTCTGATTTAATTTCTGAGTTGACGATTGCTGCTTCCTCTTCCTCCTTCTTCTTCTTCAAAGCGAGCGCCATCATTCTCCAGGTGATATTCTCCATTCTTTGCGCGTGAGGTAGGTTTGCCTTTTGCCTGGCGTACATCCTCCACACTTGAGTTGCAAGGGGATCTTGCTTTGCAAGTTTTTCTGGATCGCTTTCGTCAAAAGGGGATTCCAAGTCAGGGGAACCAGAAAGTCTAGGAGAGGTGAAAGTGCTCGGAGCATGCTCCGGATGTGGGGAACCAAAGAGGTCATCTGAAAAAATGTCGCTAAATATTGCAGATTTTGATTCGATTGTCTCAGAGGGAGATGAAGGTTTGTTTGAGGAGAGAGGGGAAGGCTCCGGATGCGAAGGTATTGTGAGCTGAGTTAAAGGGGAGTATAGGGGAGTCGAAGGAGTCGTTGAAGCGGGAGACATCCATAGTGAAGGTGGTAAACCAACATTAGAGCGTTCGACAGGATGATCGAAAATGGAAAAATCTGTTGCTGATGGGTCAGAGGCTGAGGCTCCATCTGGATGTCTAGATAAATGGAGGTTCAAAGTATCGTTATTCTAATTTAAAATGTTAAAATATACTGCGAACGAATATTCAATTACTTACGGCTATACGACGAGGACGAGAATTGAGAGTGGACATTGGCTGCTCTTGGGATGAAGAGTTGACCCTGGTACGTGGTTGCTCTTGGGATGAAGAGTGAACCCTACTCAGGGATGGTCTAAGATGACCGGAGATGGAAGTTGGTGCATGTGACCAAGATGATGATGATGAATGTTCAGTGTAATGTCTCGAGTGATGATGATCTGGACGCGGTACTGGAAATACGCCATTAGCAGCCAATGTTGCAAAGACTGAGGGATTTAAAGGAGCTGAAAATAAAGAGTTCCATTCGATATGGTGTTGAGTTTCATCTGAATGATGATGAAGCATGGATGAATGGTAAGGGTGAGGGTCTGATGATGGGAATGAAGTATTGAGGGTCGGACATTCAGATGCAGGCCATGAAGAGACAATATTTTTATCGTCTGATGAACTTGTTGACGGGGACAGCATGCGTGGAACAGAACATAAAAATTGAATATGGGATTGAAGGAGAAGAAGGGCTTTAGTTTAGGGACGAGGTACGATGAAGTAGGACCCCCAAGTACAAGTTAAAATTATACATGGAATCCCCTCTGCCCTTGTAAAATTCACATGTCTCTCAAGTGTTCGGGGGCTTCTCTATGATCATCTCTACTCGGGCCCTAGCTTAATTTGGATCAAGTTTTTTTCACACACTTTACTTGGTGCCAAGCCGGTCGGATCTTCCTTTTTTTTCTAATTTTATCAATTAACTACCGTATAAACCCCAATGGCCAAGGGTATATTCCTCATCCATATTTAAAATAAATCTTTAATTTGAGACATATTGAACCGTTAAACCGTGTCAACAATCCTCGTGCCTCGACCAGCTCTAGAATCTCACCCCGTCATCACCGCCCTGTATATATTAACTTCGGCCCGGTTAGATCAAAAGGTCCTATAGAACCACGTCATCCACCCGACTCCGATCCCACTCTCCGTGCGAATCACTCCTCCTTCTCTGTCTCAGGAAAGTCATAAAATAACCACCACGCCGCCCGCGCCACCATCATACGCCACTTATCATTTCTAGAAACTAAATTAAAACTCAAATAGGTATCTACTCCCGACTACTCCAACTCAAAGACACGTACAGCATTACATCCGCTTCTTACTCTCGTTTGCTCTTGCTCTTGTTCTTCCCCTTCCCATCAACTTCCTTCCCCTCGACTTCACTCTTCGATCCATCACCATCAATCCATTTCCAAGCATTACCTAATTCCCCTCTAACAATCCCTACCCCGAACAATGACAACATACAAGCGGGGCTAAAGCGCACAAAAGAAGAACCGTCACCATAGCCTTTCCAGCCCATAAAAACAAAACACACCTCAAATAAAGTAACGCGGGCTGGGCTTTGCCGAACACGTGCATCACTGCCATTGTAGTCACCAGTCCAGTAAAGTACGCTGCCAGGGTCGCGTAAAAGTACGGCTTCCTAAATGTGCCTTTGTCATCCGCACGTGCATAGTCGTAACGTAGTGCCAAGGCAACAAATGTACCGGGAATGACAATGTCCCCTAGTCCGAGTAATGTGTATCCGCGCTCGCTGGCAAAACTCAGCGATTTGGGCCACAGTAGTTTGATTGGGACATCAAGAGACGTGGCTACCGTGAGCATCTAGAACCCATAAGTGCAGTCTGGGAATCAATCTATAAACCACTTACCACGTCCGTACCAAATACCCAGTATATATCATAGAAGAACAGTCCAGACAGAAGAATACATCCCGTCTGGAACGAGTCTATTTTCAGCAGACAGATGGCATTGTAAGAGAACGACAGCGCCATGATATCCGTTATAAGCGCAGACTTGCGGCTCGTTTCCGATATGTTGAATAGCACAGAGGGTATCAAAGCGAGTGGAAACAACCAAATCGTCGGCGTGCGTAGCGACACCGAAACCAATTCTACAAGCAGATTAAACAAAGTCCTCGAGTAAAACATCATATGAAAACACAAACCCCGTGGACCTTTCAGAATTAACACTCTATTCCGATCAAACTTCTTCCACCGTTCTTCCCCGACCGCGAATCTCATAAGTGACACAGCACTCTGGGAAACATGCGACTCGATTACAAACACGCGACGTATGACACGACTCGACTCACCTTCCACACACTGCCCACGCCAGCGACAGAAAAATACCACGCGAGTAACCAATTTATCCATTCTTTTCCAAAGTACTTCATTATAGCGTACATCCCGAAAAGCGCTACTGAGCCTGCCTGTCATAATTACATCTTAGCATCGATTACATGTATTGCAACGAGGAACTCACAACTGGGAAAAGCCATGCGTCAGAGGACGAAAGCATATCGGTCACGCCTTCATCTTCTTCATCATCATCATCTTCATCATCTTGCACGACCGATTTATCCGTTCCTTTGATTTTTGGCTTCTTAGGCGTCTAGAAAAGTGTTCAATTCCTTTAGGCATTCACTACTGATGATCTATGTCAACGCACTGGAAGTGAGCCGTGGGCTCCCACATATATAGAGATAGAAGCTAAGCACAGAAGACCTGCATATGAAGAAATGAGGTCCCAGTCTGTGCTGGCCATCTCAATTGAATTGGGTGGGGATGTAAATGGTTGAATGAAACGCTTCTTGGACTTTTTACATGCTACGTGACAGGAGACGTGTCAGTTTGGAGTTGTTTTGGAGTGTTTTATTCTAAGGGTTATGCCAAACACTAGACTTGAATTTGATTTCATGAATAGTGCCAGCTTGCCGTTGAATCACTGATCATCGAGCTCGGACGTCAGACTACAGGAGGCACGGCTAATACCCCGCGGAAACAATAGACTTGGTGATGGATTTAATTTTATACAGGAGACATGGCGTAAATTCAACAAAGGACACACTGATTGACTTGCTCGCTAAGGTACGTACTGGACACCGGTCATCGGACCGCAGGAGGCACGGGCTTAATACCCCGCGGCGATACCATTCTTCCTCGAATCACTAGCCGCTGTAAACCAGTAAACCATCAAAAACCACGTCAAAACACCGTAACCACATACCAAAAATCCTGCCATCCATACTCACTACCGCCTGCACAACAGCAGCCACACGATCAATCTTCGACACTAATGCGGCAACCCGCGAGTCAAAACATGATCTTTCTCATAAATAATGACGGCATTAGACATGCCTGTGATATTATGTCCCCGTTCGATCAGCGAGTTCAGTATGGCGACAGGCACGATCTCATCGGCGTCTACTTCGAGTGGGTATAGTTGATCGTGGACGCGCCCGTTTTCAATCGCAGCGCTGACATCCATTCCCCAATCGAGGTTGAGAATGACTTGCAGGACTGCGCCAAAAATTCGGCCACCACCTGATCCGCCGACGGAGAGGTAGAAGGAGCCGTCGAGGTTTTCGATTATCGTGGGCGTTGTTGAGGATAGGGGGCGTTTCCCGGGCTCGGGGTAATTATCTAGGGATTGTTAATTTGGGAGGATGTGGGGAAGAGGAACTACGTACATGGTGAAGGCAAGAGGCCAAAACCATTAGGTCTTCCTGGAACCGAAAAATCGTCCATCTTACGAGCGCAATCAGGAGAAGTTGTTGGGACATATGAGGGCTCACCTCATCGTTCAGAATAATGCCGGTTTCAGGGTCGAGCACCATGGAACCAAATACGAGATTCACCGTGGTCGTCAATGCTACGGCCATTCCGTCCTTGTCGAGCACAGATGTATGACTTGTTCCATGATCAATCTTGACGTCAAACTCTGGATTATAGTATTCGGGGGTATGCGTACGATCCTAAAGTGTCATCCAGATACGGTAAAGCAACAGAGCACAAACAACGTACATCAGTGAGATTAAGCGCTACAGCATCTGCATAGGTTTTCGTGGAGATTTCGGCGACGCGAGCTGTTCCATTGGTGACATATGCCAAGTCACCAATTTTTGTGCTAGCGTAACGTGAGACCGGCTGTAATAAATTCAGAAAAGGACTCACCGAGCTGCAAAACCGACTGACGTGACAGTGTCAGTTCCACAACAAACTATTTGAAGTAGGTAAGCGCTTACACTTCAATGCCTCTATAAAGCGGTGAATATTCAAGCCAGTTCGGCCTTCGCCGATAAAATCGTAGCGTTCTAATAGGTTCAAAATATGAAGAAGCACGGGTCCTGAAGTTGGTGCGCAGCTAGTGTACACTTTCTTATCACGATACGTTCCTTGGAGAGCGTGATCCACCTTCACAGTGTAATTCTCCAGATCTCCATTAGTCATTATTCCTCCAGTGGCTTGTACCTTGCGGATGATTGAGTCAGCTATGGGGCCCTGGCCAAAAATAACTTAAATGTAGGTCCAACATGAACCACAACGAATATCAAACCTTGTAGAACACATTGGGTCCTTCGGATGCGATAGTAGCAAGTGTGCGTGAGTAATTCGTCCGTCTAATAGTTTCGCCTTCAAACAGCATACGTCCCTCTGGAGCGAAAATAGCTCTCCAGTCTTCTTTAGGAAGTATGAGTCTTGCAAACATCTGGAAGGTGTGTAATCAATCAATGCCTCGGATTCGCATGCCCAGCATTTTACCTGCAAACGTCGCGCTAATTCTTTATCAACCGCCCATCCAGCAGCAAGATCTATGCTTGGCTGCACGAGTCTAGTCCATGGCAATTTCCCCCAGCGTTCATGTGCTTCCTGGAGTCCACGGACTTCACCGGGAACACCAACTGCTAATCCACCCCATCGCGCAGCAGCTGGATCATCCGCGTACATGGTACTATTTGCCAAGGCTGGCGCAGTTTCTCTAAAATCAATGGTATATACTTCCGAACTACCACCCTCAGACGAGGGTGGAATGCGAACTGTCATGAATCCCCCTCCACCTATGCCCGAGCTGATTTACGTCAAAAACATGAATTTCGGAAACGCAGACAACTCACGAAAACATGTTGACCACACCAACACAGAAAACAGCACTGATAGCGGCGTCGACAGCATTTCCTCCTTCCCTCAAGACGGTAACACCAATGTCTGAACACCGTTTATTCTCGGAAGCAACGGCACCGTGTTCAGCCTCTATGAGATAGGCAGGATTACGGGTTTGTGTGCGGGGTCGGGTGAGTAGGTGCGGGTGAGGTTGGTATCTCTGTAGCAGAAGCGTCGCTAGACAAATAGCAAGTAAGGCAACGAATGCACCCCTCTGCCATCTACGTCGACCTTTCGGTTCCTTCGTATACAGGTAAAGCGGGAGCTCGGCTTCAGTAGAATCAAATGGTTGCTTGAAACTATCCACCGGAGGGGCATCTTCTACGGTGGGTAATGGTGATACTCGTTTCCTGTAATCCATAAAGTTGAAAACCAAGTCGACTGAACCCTTTATCTTATGGTAATGAAGGTGACCGGAACCCGGAAGTAGACATCAAGTTGTCGTCGACCTTCGGCTACCCGCAGGCCTGGTGTGTGGATTCTGTGCTTCGTTGCCACACGATACCATATTCGCACCTTATGATGGAAAGGACTAATACAATTAATCCGGGATTCCGAGTGATACCACGAGTTTTTTCGATTCCACATGCCGGCACGTGCAGGGGCCGATTCGGGTTATTATGGCCTTATGTAATTTAATTTTGGTAATAACCTCATTTTGATTCACTCTCATAGGGAGCCACGATCCGAAGTCTTATTTATTCACCGTGACAGACCGACAAGACAAGCTGACAAGTCGCTGTCTCAGGCATCCCAAGTGGAGGCGCAACGATGCCAGCTCACCGGCACCGATCGCTAATGTTTCAATATGACAGTTCAGAGGCCGACAATGTTTCGAATATTGGCTCTTTGAGCCATGCGAGGTGAGTCCGAAATCCATATTCTATCAATATACCCCACTCACCAGAATACCTCACGAGAGTTTCAGCTTTTCACCGATGATATACACAGGAATAAGAGGAACTAGTATGTTCAAAGTCTCAATTGCAAATTGAAGTGATGCTATGTTACAACGTTTTGTCAGACATTACGCCAGGACCTCTGAAACGCAGGAAAACCCTGGGACTCAATACTCGTTTTGATCGGATGCTGGCCCAAGTGCACGTCTCAAATTCGTACAGTCTTGATCCGAAAACGCGTCGAAAGCGTGCGCGTTCTTCCGGGTCTTCCTCCGTCAGCAGTTATGATCTTCCTAAGACACCTGTGGACGCATACAGCCATGAGGATAGACTTAGAAGTGACTTCTCTGTGTCTAAAATGAATAACAGGGTGTCGAACCCAGCAAAGTCTTCCTCGGTATATCGAAAGGTACGATATATGCGCGCGCTTCTATGGTCATGAGAACCCAAACTTGGCTATTGCGGCGTCAGGGTTCTAAAGTACGGCTACCGAAAAAGGCCCTACCTATGTGGCTCGCGAGTACGTTCAGTGCCTTAGAACCCGAGCATCCACTTCGAGAATTGCTTCCTCTGGCTCACGAAGACACGGCCGAACTCAGAACTCAGAACTCACCCCGACCATGTTCTCAAGAAGCCAGGGAAGGTCGTATGTTTGCATTCTCCCCGTTCGATGTCGTTCTGCAAGAAAATAATGATGTAGCTCATGAAGCTTCACGTCCGCCGTCTGCTGACCTTGCCTTCTGTGACGTTGGATTACTGCCTTGTGACCCGTCAACCGTCAACGTGGAATTACAAACATTTCATCTCGGGGAAGATACTCCAGGTTTTCGCCCATTTTCAACTCCCGGCTCGCTCGCCGCTCTAAAACACACTGTTAATTCAAATGCTTCATCTAACTTGGCCCGCCTATCAGGATCGCAGAAGACCTCAGTGCATGTGAAACCACCCCTTTTGTCTCACAACGCAAGTGTCAACCATGCCAATTTCACATCATTCCCTGTTTTTCGTTCAACTATTGCAGAGCCGGAGACTCACTTGTCCTCCTTCTGCCGCGGACCGTCTGTTGCTTCTAACGATTTTGGACCTCACTCACCGACGGAAGAGAACGAACTGACGATGAATATATTTTCCACCCCTGGACCGGCATTTACCGTCTCTCGACCAGTGTACTTCGATTCTCCCACTGAAGATCCATCATTGTCGGACCCTCTGGAACCGGAGTCCTACGAGCTTGACTTGGACGCACTTGATTTCCGCTGGCAGCCATTCTTGAGGAAGACTTTGCGTGGTCCCAGCGTGGCCGGCAGGCAAACTTATGACATGCATGCTTCAACTACGATTCCTCCTGCCTTTGATCATTCCGACATCCCTTTGTTGCGTTCGCCTCATTCCTTCTATGGCGTCGTTGACGATCAAGTAGCAACGGTGGAGGCACGTGGCGCAAGTGTAGAATCCGACCTTTATAATGGACCCGTTCGCGGCTCACCTGTATCTGGACACACCATCCGACAATTATCATCTCCTCAGTTGAATGGCCAAAGCGGCGCAGCGGTCTTCGCTCGCCCTTCTAGAATTTTCATTACGAATCCTCCCGTTTCTGCAGGCCCTGACATCCTTTTATCACATTCGCCTCATGTTTTCCGTAGTGTCGCCGAAGACCAAGCAACAATAACAGAAGCATCTAACGCATCCGTAAAATACGACCTTCGTGATGGACCCATTCGTGATTCACCTATATCCGGATATGTCATCCAAGAATCTCCATTACCTCAGTTGAATGGCCAATATGGCGCAGTAGTCTTTGCTCCCATTGCGGGAATTTTTGTCTCACCGCTAAAGGGAGCAACATCATCTCCTGCGGTCCCTGGTATTGCTGATGTACAAGAAGTAAGCCCACAGGAAACAAAACCATCTCGTCGTATTTAAACTGATCTTGTCAAAGCTTACCGCGGAAAACACAAGATGCACCACAGAGAGCCGCGAGCAACCTTCCACGCCCACACGCTCAACTCAGGCGTCACAACCAGCAACACCGAAGAAAGATCGACCAAGCCAAGCACACAGTACGCCGATCTCGCCTCGGCAAGAACAACGATCGACTGTCTCGTGGATGTTGTCGCGTCGGTCGCTTGCGGGGAGGAGCAGCGTTTGCCCTGATGAAATCGAGGGATTGCTTTCGCAGCGTTCAGATACTAGTCATGATACAATTGAATCATGGGCGGATGGTCATTAGCGAATTTGAGCATTCCACACCTACATTTTCGTTAGTAAACTCAAACTCTACAACGTTCCTTAATCCAAGTTAGAAGTATTCAGTAGAGTATAAGTATTGCGAGGGTATATAAATCCAAGTGAGCCAGTGGAGAATTACCAAACAACTTCAGCACCGTCAAACGGGTGGATGGTCACCCCACGTTCTCCCCGTAACTTTCGCAGCTTGTGTCGCTCCAGAGTATATACCTCGTATGAAGAGGCTGCAAGCATCATTGCACGGATGTGGTGCGGGTGCGAGTTGGCAGCCACTGCATGTTTTCGGGACTGCCAGATGCACGTTGCGAGGTTCATACCCGTTTCTGGATCTGGCACACCATACCAATACATGATAAGCTAGGGGGTAAGGTCAGGTAGAGCCACTGTGACAAGGGGTTGATTGCATACACCACCGCTGAGCACAGCCTCCTCGTGAGCTAACTTGTCGGCATCATAGAGGGCTGTGCATGCGAGGATAATCAGTCAAAAGTCCGGGTATGAATGATGGTTACTTACGTCCACTATCGCTCCCAGGCAATCGCTTGCTGCGAAAGGCAACACAATACCACTCACGCTCCTCATCTTCCGGAAGTTCTAACTTGCTCCAATTGAACGCTTCGTCGTATGGTAATTCAGCATAATACGGAGTCACCGGACGGAAATGGTGCAAAGCTTTGTGCAACGACAGCGATACGGGGTCTATATCAGGTAGACGGGTCTCGGAGAGCATCGGTTGCTGTTCTAGTGATGTATGGAGTAGTACCCTGAAGTCGTGAGGTAGAGAAGAAAGTAGCGGAGGTAGATAGAGGACGGTAGATGAGGGGTTTGTGAGACTTTTAGAATTGAATGTGGGGAGCTCGTGAGGATCACGCTCAATGTCGATAGCCCCAAGGCCGACGTCCAGATTGTCCAAGTCCGGATGCTCAGACTCAGTGCCGTCAGCCACGACATCAATCTCTAGGGGGTGCTGTGACTTTGAGCTAACAAGTTCAGCATAACTGTGGACAAGTGTGAAACCCATGATGGCCTCGGGCGCGCTAACTCGTAGTGGGGAAAGATAGCCTTAAAAATCCATGCAGAATGCATGCAGGGCTTATATCAGGTGCAATGTCAGGGCGCACGCGATTTACCAGTCAAGTGATGAGATACCGTTATGTTATTGCGTGATTTTTGACAATAACAGTTATCAACGACTAGAAATTTGATATCGTCAAGGAGCCTAAGATAGATAGAAGACAACCGTTGACCTACCATTGGACACCACCGTGAAAAAGCTGCTTCAGTTAGAACTCCTAGAAGACGCATAATCGCGGCCCTGGCTATGAGGTGTAATTACCATTGCCAGCCAGACGACAGCTGGCATCTTGGCATGACTCAGATGGAACCTGCTGAACTTGAGCGGGCAGAGTACTGGGATCTGGTGTGCTCTAGACAAAGCCGTATCACATATACACATAGCAGACATGTTGGTATGGAGGATGTATAACAATCTGATATACAACAGTTACTTGGTCTCTTCGTCCTGCTTCAAGCTTCAGGGCTTACTAAACGTTTATTAAGTTCGACCAAACATGCTTACATAAGCATCTCTCTAGGCCCCGCTGTTCCCCGAGCTTCAACTCGAACTTCACAGATGGCAGCTACAAAAAAAGCTGCAGAGTCGACTCTCTATCATGTTCATCCGAAGGGTTTTTGGAAGAAATTCCGTGAGTTTATTCATTTATTGGCTTATCGAATGTGTGCGAACGCCTCTTACCAGGCGACGCTGTGGTCATTAATCCTGAAATCTCGAGTGGTATTCCATTAGCAGGAATATACAGATGGCCGCAGCCTGGTTCCAGACCGGAGAAATACGCAGCCCCGGCAACCAAAGGTAGGACATTGAGGCTTACTATAGGGTTTGTTCATCCTTTTTTTGTCAGCTTCCGACCCCGCCCAGAACCCGTACTGGAAGAGAGATGTTCGAAGGGCATATCCCCAGCTTTCTGTGGTCACGCAGCCCGACCTATCGTCACTTCTCATTCAACACTCTGAAGCCCAGGCGTACGTTCTCGTACCCTATGCATGGCAGCTCCCATTGACATGTTATCATAGAATTCCTGCACCATCAGAAGCCAAAGAAGGAGATAAATCGGATGTCCCCACAAAGACCCAGGAGACCATGGATTTGACAGGTGCCATTGCTGCAATCACATCTGTGCACAAGGTGTACGACCAGTCAAAGCTCCCCCCGAAGGTGCCCACACCCTTCAAGAAGTGGAGAGCCGAGCTCGCACCAGACGCCCCTCATGATCCCAATGCTTATTTTCCAATGTTGCTATACAAGTAGTCGACTTTTGCATTACACTCGAGGATTTTCTCCCTTCTCATTGTTGGCGATAAATCCAGATATAACCATCATATCTTCCGCGCTACGGATAATGATTCAGCAAGTGGAGATGCTTTCAATGTGAATAGGCACCCCCCTCTGTATAGCGTATACAGGAGTTTCTTTGTACTTTTTATGGATCGAAGCCTAGCAACACCTTTACTTAGGGTACGTTACTCAGTCGCTTAGTTGTGTGACACTCGTCTTCGGTGCGGTTGTCCACCCTGTTTGATCTGCCTCTCTTGGTTGAGCATCTTCTAGAGCTCACTGATATATGGATATTAGAACCTCAAACACGAACCACGCCTACCGGATTTCCCAACGGATGTACTATTGTGATAAACCAATGGCGTGCTCCCTCTGCCGCTCTTCCAAGGCTGTTGACATAGGTTGATATCAAACGCCATGGAAGAGGGGCGTGAAGGAAGCTCGTACAAATAAGAGAGGTGCAACTCGCCTTAACGAAGCTCATCGCAATCTCTGTGGGGACAATGTCATATTGATCGAATTTGTATGTATCTACATCTATCATCGATGGAAATTGGATCACTGATCGAGTGTCTCTGAACGGCGTGCCAATCCTACAGGATATCCCCCAACTCAGCAAGCCATGTATATGAATTACTCTTGCAGTTCCATTGCCGACAACTGCTCTCCACTTTCCAACCGGATTCACATACTTCCTTAGAAGGCACGGGGCGTTCGTTGAGCCAGAGTGTGATATAACAGGTTGGTCAGAGTCTAGCCTGAGATGCAAGAGGGGGCAGTATTTGGAAGCGATAGCTATAGCTTGCGACAATTCTGACACAACGGTTTTCCGGGACGGTCTTGCATAGCGGACCCGATATGATCTTGGAAGATTCGTCCAGAAGAAATTTGTTGATGATTAGGTGCACACGTGTGAGGGAGCTGCGGTTTCAGAGCTCAGCGGTGTTACGCGGTTGGATGCAACGCGCAATATATTTGTGCGAATACTTCGGGCATCTCGTAAACGCAAATCAAATGGGCTGAAAACGCCAATAAAAAGTCTCCAACGTGCCCTGTGACAATGTGCCAGTGTGTTCTCGGCACATGGGTGCTGTATTTTAGAAATGAAATCTACCCAAAAAAACATTCCATCGACTGACATATGAGAACTTATGCATCGTTTCAGGATAGTATCAAGCGCAGTTATGCTTTTGTTGTGCGCAGAAGAAAAATCAATGTCTTTGATTCATTTTATGACATACACGATGGATAGACCTTGTACTTTGCTCCCTTAGAGTCTGGTCCTCACGTAGTCTCCCAAGGAACAACAACTAGTGTCTTATCGTTGACAAGGTTATTTTATTTCCAGTCCTTGCAGATCAGGCACACCATCGAGGTCGTCTGGGACGACTTCAATAGCGTTCAGCTGATATACAGGATCAAGTGAGTATCTAATGGACATACGACAAACCTTGATAGCCACTGCGGGTGTGAAACTCTTACCCAGCTCCCAGTAGGTGGGGTGAAAACTGCCGAACACTTGCTGGACTACCTTATCCTCGTTTCTGTCATCCACCTGAGGTACTCCGACTGCGATGACAGTACCTCCAGCAGTAATGGTGTCATGAGCGGTTTCGTGTGTCAGGAAGAGAGCTGGCGTCAAATGCCGAAGTGCTAAGAGTTGCCGTGACCTTAGCAATTGCGTTTTTTTTGACGCAATGGTCGAGAGATTGCGATCGAGCACACGAGTAGCGCTGCGCGAGGAAAGAAGTCCAGTGTTGTGGAAAGAAGCTGTAGTGATGATGGGAGAGAATCCAAAGAGCTTAACAAGCTGTATGGATACGAATATTGTGAATATTAGGCAAGGGACAAGATTAAGTTTGCACGCATATAGCGGTGGCGCAAGATGAGCCAGTTCAGGCTGCTGCGCATACAAGGCAACAACGAATGGGATTATGCCAACCTGCACAGAAGCCGCTTGGTCAAAAGTCATGTTATCCGGAATCTAAGGAAGAAAGAATTGGCTTTGTCGGAGCATATAATACTTTTGCAGTGGAGTCGGCAATTATGATGCAGTACTGTTGGAAACTGGTAAACTTGCTGGCTATGTTCGCTTGAAAAATTATGTCAAAGAAATTTCAGTACTATCCTTCTATCTTTGACGTCACTTACGCCTTATCCCCTTCCTTGAAATAAGTGACACCATGACAGTCGGACAGTTTCCATATTGCCAGCAGCCTCTTCACCAATGACTGCTGGGTACGACTTGACGAAAATGAATCCATTTTCTTGGATTTTCCAATGCAAAGGGTCCAGACTGCTTGAAGTCATGTTGGCGAGAAGTTCGTCGGAGCCAGGTGCGTCAATATTAAGTACTAACAGCGAGATCTTGTCCAATAACAGGAAGCCACAAAGCTTGTTGGGTTGACATCATGTTGAACACAGGTTAGGTTCGAAAAGATCGGGAATGAAGCGCAGCTATGGACAAGCAAGTGAGTACTGGAGTGACGTAAATTAATTACAAATCGGTGAGTTAAGTGGTGCCGGTGAGTATTCGGACTCATATGAGGAAGTGTCTGGTGCGGAAGGGGAATACTAAGTCCTGCATCTCGGACGTGATAAAACCAATCCACGTACTAGTTGTGTATTATTAAGATACCGGCCTGAACTCACCAGTAGGTATTGCCAATCCAATACTGAGCCAGTATTTTGGTTGAGTGAAAGGGTATTCGTGGTCCCGTCAGCACGCATACTTACTCGAGTGACAATTACTTATTAAAGCTGTGTTAAGGCCTTAGAATCAAACACGTACAAACAACCGCCTGAAATGTCCAACGACGCACCACCATCAGCAGCCGCGGGGGCATCCGCATCCGCTCAAGCAGCTGCTTTCGCCAACGACGACCGTATCCACTTTTCCAGAGAGACAGGAACATGGAGGCTGGAGAACGAAGATGGTACTGAACTCGAGTTTGATTCCGCCAAGGGTGTATGGGTTCCGGTGGTGAGTGTGAACTTTGTGGGGCGCTAGTGATCGTGAGGCAAGCAAACTTGGCAGCTTGATGAGGAACTGATCAAAAAGCAACAAGCTGCATATTCGGTCGCTGGCGTGGATGAAGAGGTCAAGTAATGATGTTCAATACGGTGACTCCTTAATTAATAATCTTCCCAGACACCAGCTGCGCCCGTGCTCAAACGCGCAAATAAGAAGAGGAAGGAGCCTGAAAACTACACGTCCTATACGCCTCAGACAGAACCTTCTGCGAAGCGTGGCAAGAACGACAAGCCGGCCAAGTCCAAAAATACGGCAGTCTACGTTACTGGTCTCCCTGCAGATACTGACGTGGATGAAATCGTTGAGCGCTTTTCTAAGTTTGGAGTTATTGAGGAAGATGATGAAGGCGAATCGAAAGTGAAACTGTACGCACGCGAGGACGGGTCATTTAGTGGAGAAGCACTGGTGGTTTATTTCAAAGAAGAATCAGTGACTTTGGCAGTCAACCTCCTGGATGACGCAGAACTCCGCATAGGCGACGCATCAACGATCATGAGTGTGCAGAAGGCGGAATTCCGTCACAAGCATTCAGGTGGGGTAGGAGAGGAAGCAAAACTACGAAAGACAGTGGACAAGAAGAAGATAACTAGAAGGATCGGCAAGATGCAGAAGTATGATCCTCCTCTCTCGGACTGCATTGTCATATCTCTAATTCACCTACAGAAAAATTGAAGAATGGGATGACGAAGATGGTTTTGGCCCTGCCAAGAATGAAGAGGATGAAAAGAAAGTAGTTAACAGGAACTGCCGTGTGGTGGTTCTCAAGCACATGTTCACTCTCCAAGAGCTCGACGAAGACGCGTCTCTGCTACTTGACCTGAAGGATGACGTGCGTTCCGAATGTTCATCACTAGGAGAAGTCACAAATGTCGTTCTGTATGACGTATGTCCCATGTTTGCTATTCTGCAGCCATATCTGATATCCTTGTAGAAAGAGGCTGACGGAGTGATGTCGGTCAAGTTCAGAGACTCACTGAGTGCTCAGGCCTGTGTCATTGTACGTCTCTCTCTCACTTCCTTACCCCTTGACAAGTATTGATCGACTTTCATAGAAAATGAACAACAGGTTCTTCGCCGGAAGACGTATTGAGGCGTTTTTGTATTCAGGAAAACAGCGCTTCAAACGCAGCGGAGCGGGCGACGACTTGGATGGAGATAACGATGAATCAGAAAAGCAGCGGCTGGATGACTTCGCATCGTGGCTCATGACTGATGGGGACTGATTGGATGTATCATCGAGCTTGCCAGTCTGACGAAGATACGAACATTCGACTTATTAAATGTATATAATGCATTTCAAGATCTTTGGACATTTATATCAGATAGCAAATTACAGTAGCAACCTGAACCATAACACGACAGACCGGACCCCTCTATGAAAGAAATGTGCATATATTTTACCAACAGCTGAGAAGAGGTTTCGCAGCAACCGTCTCAAATCGCTGAGGCAGTATTGTAGATCAGATCCTCGTCGATAATAGGGGGTGGACATACCTCGACAATGACAGTTCGCTTCTGCTGTTCAAGTTCGTCGACGTTCATCCAGTCCAGGCTGTGGTCAGGCTGGTGATACATCCGCCCAGCATGGCTGTTCCACCTATTGTGCTGAGGTACGAATGGTGACTCAACATGAGACATTGACTTGGACATGACTGCCAGATCCTCCTCTGTCACAGAGTTAGCGAGTGAATGTACTTCCGGAACAGAGGTAAGCCCGCCCGGACTGCCAGGTGGGGTGAGTTGCTGTGAAGCTGATAGATCATCGGGTGGAAGCCCATCACCAGTGGGGATAAGGAGTGGTTGTGGTGCAGACGACATTCCAACATCGACTTCTTCCTCTTCGTCCTCCTCGATAACAGGTTCTTCGACGCCAAGCCGTTGCAGCCCGGCTTCGACAACGTCCAGGCGTTCAAGATGCTCGAGAACCGTGACACCTGTCGTACCTGGGTGTACCTTCTGAAACTTGGCAGAGAACGGAACGGGGCGGTCGGCTTCTGATGATCTCCGGCGAACAGGTGGAGGGAACTCAGCAGAGTAACTTTGACTGCGTGTACGCCGTGGTAATGGCATGGTGCTGATGGACGGGCGTGGCGATGCAGGTGAAGGACCAACACCAGGGAGACGAGGTGCTTCTTCCATAATTTCAACTTCGTCGTCCCAAACAAGTGCCTTCGTACGGCGGGTCAACTCCAGCGGACCTGCAACAATGAATATCGAAATTATTTATTTGACTGCCTTTGGAGCTCACCTTCATCCTAGCAGAGTAGACTGATTAGTTGAACGAATTCAAATGATCCAGCCAACAGTTCCGGCTTACCGCATGTTTCAAAGACTCGATAATGTTATAAGCTTGACCTTTCATGACAGCCAATTGCCTCTGAAATTAAATGATGATATCGTATCGTTGTCATCAAGGTACTCTCACAACTGACCTGGAACATTTTGGGATGGAAATCAGGGTCAACTGCAAAGACTTTACGAAGCTGGAAGGTTGTTTCCTCCCACCAAGTATTAGAGGTCAAGAGGGGTAAGAAATGCGCTCGCGTCTTTTCACTGAAAGGACGCCCAATCAAGTTGACAGGGAGATACAACCACCCATAGGTATACGACCGCCAGCCTCGAGGATGCTCATGAGGGAACGAGAGCGAATTGTCTATGGCTGCAATATGTATATGGGGCTGACGTATGTAGTCAGACGAAGCAGCGTTAGCTTGAGATGGAGGGATGGCATTGGCGAAAGTTACAGTAGACTGTGATGACGGGGAATGTGTCTCAGCACGACGAATCTGTGGCATCTGAGGATGAGCTGAAGGCTGAGGGGCAACATCAACCAGTTTCTCGTGGCTGCCCTCACAGTACTTGATCATGTAATTATCAGCTCCACGGTCAGTATTTAGCATTAGGTAGTCTGTTCGCGGGGTTAGTCATCAGGAAGAATATAATAGAGAGGGTATCACCAAGTATCACAAGCCTAGTTCAGAGTGGGATGCAGCATGAGAATCTGTGATGCAAAGAGAGCCGACAAGCGTACTTTTCTAGTTCTTCTCTAAAACTTTGTTGAAGCGCTCGCGACCAATAGAACGGACGTCCAGATTCGTTGTCTTCAGTAACGTCGAAAAGAGCACGTTCTTCCTCTGGATCTTCATCCTCTATGTCTTCGTCACCAGTCCTCCCGCATACTATTTTCAGTGCACTAAGAAATCGTTTCGTAGGGAGACCTTTGCGATGCGATGAATCGTCAAATGTGTCTGCAATAGAGCGGCCGGGCCAAGGATGCTTCCGTAGGAAATCTGACGCATCTGATGATTTGTAGATGAGTTCATGCACAACAAGTAAGTAATATAAACACAACCAGTGTATCCATGCAAGAAATACTGCATGCTTCCTATCTTTTCAGGTAGCGGTTTACCTTTCTTGGCTGCACTTCTGTCAATCCAGTCATAGAAGAAGGCCTAAAACATGAGGATTTAGCCAGGAATTCCAGAAAGTATATCATGGACTCACAGGGCTAGATAGTGAGACGAGCTGTGTACGAGGGACAATATTAAGCCCAAGACGTTCGTCAAGCAGGGATCCCGCAGCCTCTGAGATGTAACTTGAGACAGTAAGTGTCACGCGGGGTGAGCTGCTGCTCTGAGTTGTATAGATTTACCTGAGATTGGGTATGAGACAGGCCCGTCCAAATGGAATTATCCATCTAAATTGCCGATGTAGCCACTTAGTGGTCTGAAAGATTTGTGAGTGAAAGTCTGGTCGATTATAAAGACACGCACTTTAGGATTCAAGCGCCCATAAGGCTCCTCATCTTTAGGCTTGAATACACTTTGATATATGATAAGTTGTCATGTTACTGAAGCACGATACTCAATACTCACGCAACTGTCTGGACTCTCCCATCAACTTTCGCACGAGCAAAGTAGGATCCAGAAGACCCTTTCACGATCATCTTTGGGTGGATTCCAGCTGATATGGCGTTTCGCACTGATTGTGTTAAACTGTTTGCTATGAGCTCGGCATTGGATTCCCAATAATCCTAGCTTACTTGTCGAAAGTTGCCTGAGACATGGGAGGCTTGTGATCAAGTGTTTTTACCTGTGAACCAAGACGTTACTATCAACATGAAACAGTAGGAGCCATGCAGAACATGCATTTTGATAGTAAAAACCACAGGACTTACCGTGATGTCACTTCCGCTCCCAATGGCAAAATGTGGCGCACACGGCTCAAAGACACTCTGCCATATCTCCTTGCGAGAGTAGTCTTCGACTTTCTTCTTCCGTTTAACTTTCTGCGCAATAGATTCAGTCCACCTGAAGACACGGGTTAGCTCGAGACTAATATCGTAACTCCGCAAGCCCCTTGCCCACCTTTTGAATGCATTGTCTAACTTTCGCAAGTCTATGTGTCCTGGTTTGTGTGCTCGGGCACTGCGTCCGCGGGCAGCCTTAGCGTGATCCTCCGTATTTTGTTCCTCGACGATAGTTTCATCTTCAACATCTTGAGGCAACTGTTGATAACCGGCAGAGTGGAGCATGATGAATCCCGAGAACCGAGAAATAAGACGCCTATATGACTTCAAGGCCTTTTCAATGTTCTTTCGTTGCGTGAGGTTGATATGAGCCCTCGAGAGTTGAGGCCACGCGTGTCCAGTGCTTGCCGCTTACCAAGTAA